GTGCCTTAGGCACTACGCTACCATAGCCTCTGGAAAACCCACTGTACACTTATAAGAGAATAAGAATAAAACAGGCAAGTAATTTATTATTATTATTATTAAAATACTTTTGATCTTATGAACCACCAAAGGGTTTCAGGGATCCCCAGAAGCCCCTAGATCACACTTTTAGAGCCACCACTCTAGAGCAGAGTTTCTCAACCACAGCCCTATTAACATAAACTGAAAAAAAAAATAAACCACTGCCATGGAGCCAGATCCGACTCATAGTGACCCCTCCTTGGGTTTCCAAGGCGGTATCACTATGAAAATAGATTGACCAACCTTCCTTCTGAGGAGTGCCTGGTGGGTTTGAACCTCCAGCCTTCTGGTTAGTAGTCAAGTGCCTTAGGCACTACGCCACCAGAGCTCCTCTATTAACATAATTCTTTATTGTAGAGGGCTGTCTTGTGCATTGTTAGGATGTTGAGCAGTATCTCTGTCCTCTGTCCACAAGATATCAGGAGCTCCTTTCCTCCCTCAATTGTGACAACCAAAAACATCTCTAAATATTGCCAAATGACCCTAGTAGGCAAAATTGCCCTGGTAACCAATTGGTGCAGCTATGATGGCTGTCTCAACATTCCCACTCAGCTACGTCCTCCTTAGTGGGTTTCTACTGTACAGATTTTAAAAGCTAAAAACTCACTTTCTCAGCTTCCCTTGCACTGAGTGTCACCTCTTTCTGCCTGGAAGAGGATGGAGAGGCTGGATATATGGCACAGTTATCTTACCTCCATGGCCCAACCAGCATATAACTGAAATCCCAGGGTAGTACAGTAGAAAGCCTGGATACCTGATTGTATTGTGAGCCATGGCACCGGCCCTGGACTGTTACCCAAGATAAACGCCTATTTTAAGCTAGTTTTAGCCCAGGATTTTCTATTATTTGCAGCCAAAAGTGTTACTGACACAATTAGAAAACCAAACAAAACAAATGTGTACTTTAGTGAGTCATTATAAGCCAACCACACTTGTAGCCACTATCCAACTCAAGAAATAGAATTTCGCCAGCCATCCTGGAAGCCCTCCCCTCTCTGTATATTCCATCCCAATCTTAAAGCCCTTCCTTTGCTCAAGAGTAACCACTAACCACCAGGAGAGATCAGAAGGGAAACATTTGCATAGGGGGAAAGCTGGACAGAGAGAAATGCATAGATAAGAAGGACACAGGGAAGGGGTAGTCACAGGGAAGAGATGAGAGGAGAGCTGTTCCACTGTGGGGACTGCAATCGGTGCTGTGAAACCAAATGTGTATGAACTGTTGAGAGTTAAATGAATCTGCTTTGTAAATTTGCACCCAAATCACAATAAATTTTTTTTTTAAAGTAATCACTAACTTGTTATAGTAATCACTTCCTTGCGTTTCATTATAGTTTGATCACCCAGATGTACATTCCCTGAGAATTTAGTTTGGTTCCTTTTTTTTTTTTCTACATCTCTTTTACTCTGTAAGTCCCCCTCCATTCCTTTGTCAGCTCTCTTTTCATAACACTCTATTGTCTAGTTCTCTCATTTCTAAATTTCTCAATCCTGATGGGATACTGTTCTTTCATAATTTCTATCATTCATTCTCTTAATTCTCCTTCTGGAATATTAATAATGTTTTGTCTGCTTTCAGGACCTACTTTTCTGGTATGACTTAATTATTTGTAGATTTATTATTCAGAGGGATCCTCCTCATTTTTTCTTGCAGTATGTTTGCATGGAGTTTCTGCTGCTTACACTGAAGTGAAATGGGTCGGAATAAAATGAGTGTTCTTAGCTTCATGGCCGTAGGGCTCCCCCTTCTGGCTTTACATTGAAGTATTACAAATGTGGCCTCTCCAATACTTTCTGATAACCACTTCCTCTGGTCCTCTACTCCATTAGTATCTGAGCCTGCTTTCTCCTTAATGCCTTATCAATATGGGTTCATGGTCTTAGAAGTTCATCTTTAGGGAGTGGCTCTGTCCTTCCTAAGCATGGCTTCGAACCAGTTCAAGATCCCCAGGTGATCCTTATATAAATACATACCTTATGTTAAAATGTAGACTCTGATTCAGTACATCTGGGGTGTAAAGGCAAATTCTCAGCAGGGGTTGAACCAAAATGAGCTGTTTCAAAGCACTGTTCCAAAGGGATCTTCACTGGGTATTTCTGAGAGCCCTTTCTGAAAGCCCAGGTCACTCCAACTGCCTCTAACTTCCTCCAGTCTCCTTGTACTCGCCAACAAACTGAGCTTGCAAAGTCTGCTCCCAGCTTTAACTGTTGTTATCACATATTCCCACAAAATTCTTTACTCCCAGTGGGGACTCTTCCTTTTGACTGATAATACTTGTGGGAAACCTCCTGGTCTCTGACTATCAAAATGAGTAGTCCCCTTTTTCTCCCCTCCACTTTCTCCTACACAGCTGCTGGTGGTTTGACCCTACCAGTTTATATTTTGGGACTCATGGGGACATAATGTCAGCTAGTTTTGTCTCTGTGTTTTTCTAATGTTCTGCTTTCTCTATATTTCTTAGGGATTGAGGGAGATTCCAAAACTACACTGCCTCCATCATGCCTTACTTTTCAAAAAATGTAATTCATTTTATTGAGGGTATTGTTGTTACGTGCCGTCGAGCCAGACCCAACTCATAGCGACCCTCCTAGGGTTTCTGAGGCAGTATCACTACAGAAATAGATTGCCCAACCTTTCTTCTGAGGAGTGGCTAGTAAGTTTGAACCGCCAGCCTTCTGATTCGCAGTCAAGTGCCTTAGGCACTACGCTACCAGAGTAAGCAAAGAATAATCTGGATTTGAAAAATATCTGCAATATGATGAGGCTGCTCCAGGTTATACATGTAGGGGCTAAAAGCACAATTTTAATCATTCAGATGTTAAATAGACATCACTAGGGTGCATTCTCATTAGCAATAGTTCTTAAAGAACATACTATATTCATAATAAGGATGCTAACAGGAGACACAAAGTCAGTCTCTTTCCTTCACCTTTACATACAGCTTCTCAGTTTACACAACAGGAAAATCTTTAGGGATCAGGCTAAAAGGAAATTCTTATTTCTCGGTTATTTATTACATGAGCAGTATTTGTGGTTCCTTACATAAAAGTGATTGTTACATTGTTGTTGGTCGCCTTCCAGTTGATTCTGACTCACAGCAACCCCATGTGTGCACAGTAGAACTGTTGCACAGGGATTTCAAGGCTGAGACCTTTAGAAGCTGATCACCAGGCCTGTACTCTCAGGTGCCTCTGGGTAGGTTCAAACCACCAACTTTCCAGCTAGCAGTTGAGTCCTTAACCATTTGCACTACCCAGGGACTCCAAAACCTTTACATAAACCTAGTTTATCATGATATGACACATAATAAAGATCTGTCTTATTTTTAATATTAACAACAATTACTGAGGACTTACTATGAAGCAGGGAGCTCTGGTGGCATAGTGCCTAAGGCATTTGACTGCTAACCAGAAGGCTGGCGGTTCAAATTCACCAGCCACTCCTCCGAAGGACAACTGGGCAATCTACTTCCATAGTGATAGTGCCTCGGAAACCCAAGGAGGGGTCGCTATGGGTCAGATCTGACTAGATGACAGTGAGAATTTATGAAGCAAGCACTATGCTAAGCATTTTGTCATCTAATTTAGTCATCATAAAACCCTATAACAGCTGGATAGTGTGTTCATTTCCTCTAATTTACAGGTGAGAAAACAGGCTCTGCATGATGGACTGCTTATGCTACAGTATCAAAATTCTCAAAATCTCAATGGTTTAACACAACAGAAGTTTTATTCTTTGTTCATATGACATGTCCACAGTTGATTGGCCTAGAAGGCCTCTGTTGACATTAGCCATTCAGGGACTCAATACTTATGGAGGCTTGGTCAGGGTTGGCTGTCCAGTACATCTGGGTTCTAG